CCTGCATCTCGAGTAGACACAAAGGACACAAATTTTCAGATGTACTGAAAAAAGCAATCTTTAAAACTGAAGAGCATTGCCACGAAATGAAAGTGAGGCCTACTCTCCTTTCAAACCATTGTCCGATGAAGCCAAACCAATATTCAATGAAGCCAAAGCACTGTCCAGTGAACCCAAAGTTGTATCTGGTTGGGAACTTCAGATTTACATGTAGATACACTGGTCATCTGACTCTACAATCAAAGGGCTATTTAATCCCACTGGCATCACAACAGCCAGCCAGTGCCACATCCTAACCGCAGACTCTCACAACCACTGTATTCACATCCTAAATCAGGATGGACAGCTCCTTCTTTACATTGATAACTGTGATCTATATTATCCAAGGGGTTTATGTGTGGACACCAAAGATAATCTCACTGTGACGGGGTATTACGGTATAGTGAAAAAATTTAGTAAATATGAACACCCACGCACTGCTCCTATTTCGGGAGTTGTTTGAGAGATTTAACCCTTTTGGGCAGAAGTAAAAAGAAAACTTCTTTGGTGTAAAACTATTCAACAAACATTTGAAAATCAACGGTGAATGTGCAATTCAGAATGAAACCTGCACACTGATAATTTTTTAAAACTAAATAACTGCTGTCAATTACATATACATGTATGAAGGTCACATTCTCGATAAACGTGTTCAGAAAAATACATGTACTTTACTTTTGCTTTCATATTGCACATGTATATCCTCATTTTCAGTCTAAAAAAAAATTAAAAATAAGTACTTGTGAAACACTGATGCCCCCGTGCGGCAGCTTATGGTGAAGGTTGAAGTTTCTCAAATGCAAGTCAAACTCCAGGTCAAAAGATAAAAAAAAATGTTGGTACCCAAAGAAAGGCCTTGTCTCGAGGAATATATCTGTGAAATATGAAGCACTAACACCAACCGTTTGAAAGTTATGGCGAAGGTTACAATTTTTCAAAAGTAAGTAAAACATCAAAGTCAAATGGTGCCCAACGGGAGGTCTTGTCACAAGTGATACACATGTACATGAAATATGAAAACCCTAGAACCAAATGTTCAAATGTTATGGCCAAGGTTAAAGTTTTTTAAAAGTAGGTAAAACCCCAACGTCAAGGTCAATGTGCCAAAATTGTTGGTATCCAAAGGAAGGTCTTGTGACTAGGAATACACGTGAAGTATGAAAGCCCTAGCACCAACTGTTCAAAAGTTATAACCAAGGTTAAAGTTTTTCAAAAGTAGGTCAAACTCCAAGGTCAAGGTCAATGGGCCAAAATTGTTTGTATCCAAAGAAGGGTTTTGTCACAAGGAATACACATGTAAAGATTGAAAGCCCTAGCGCCAACTGTTCAAAAGTTATGGCCAATGTTAAAGTTTTTCAAAAGTAGGTCAAATGCCAAGGCCAAGGGTCAAAGCTGTTGGTATTTATGAGGTCTTGTCACAAGAAATATACACATGTGAAGTATGAAAGCCCTAGCAACAACTGTTCAAAAATTTGGCCAATGTTAAAGTTTTTCAAAAGTAGGTCAAACTCCATGGTCAAGGATCAAAGTAATGGGTATCCATAGGAAGGTCTTGTCACAAGGAATACACATAATAATAATAATAATATAATAATAAAATTTTATATAGCGCCTTATCTTATGTGAACTTTAAAGCGCTTTACATAGATATAACAATCTACATAATAAAAGGAAGACTAAAACAATCTTATATCACCTATAAAATAGTAAGACATTCTGAAAATACAATCACGTTGATATTAAAACAAGCCATACGTATATACACTTTCCACCTCAAGTAAAGGCTTTTTTAAAAAGATGAGTCTTAAGTTCCCTTTTAAAAACTTCCAATTTGTGAACTTGTCGAAGTTCTACTGGCAGCTGATTCCAAATTGTTGGAGCAAGTCTATCGAATCTACGATCACCGTATGTTTTTGATCGGACTCGAGGCACAACCAACTTGTTTGACGAAACCGAGCGAAGTGACCTGGCAGGTCTGTATTCGCAAACTAGTTCAGAAAGATAAGTCGGTGCCAAACCATGAAGTGCTTTGAAAACATAGACACATAGTTTGTATTGCACTCTATATTTGACAGGAAGCCAATGTAGCTCAACAAGTATATGGGCTGAATATGTTCACGTTTACCTGTCTTAGTAATAAGTCTAGCAGCCGTGTTCTGAACCCTCTGCAATTTGCATATATATGTGCTATTTATGTTGAATAAGAGCGCATTACCATAGTCCAATCGTGACGTCACCAGAGAGTGGACAAGTGTTTTACATGCCCCATCCGTAAGAAAATGTCTAATGCGTCCTATTTTGCGAATCTGCGAGTAGCATGTCCTTGAAACAGCATTACATTGCTTTTCAAAAGATAGGATTCGATCGAAAAATGCACCAAGATTTCTGACATTCGGAACACTGTGAATGATTTTTCTCCAAACGATAAGCTGAATTCGGTCATGGTTTTGATTCGATCGACTCTTAGGGGCAAATCACAGGCCTTTGGATCGCTTAAATCCGACTTTAAAAAATCGGGGTGTATAAAAAAGATAAAGGTATGGAACGCCTTTCATAGGGTACCCACTTTCGCTAATAAAATACTTTTAAATCGAATGCTCTAGAGTTTTACTTTCTATTCCTATCTATTCATATATAATCACTCTACATTACTACCAAAGTTCACTCCGAAATTCCATGTACTTCCTGAGATATGGTGAAATCAATTCGAAAATTGACCTACTTTTTTTTACTCGACATTAGCTTGGGCCCTGGTTATCCACATGTATACAGACGGTGTTTGAACTGCAGCGAACAGCTGCATAGTATTTGCACAATCTTTCAACATTTTAAAGTTGATTTTTTACTCCAGATCGTAAGGTTAAGTCCGTAATAATTACTTTCGCGAAAAAAAAATTAGAAAACGTATGCTTCAACAACTTCACAGCCATGTTGTTTATAAATGTAAAAAGAACTATGATTGAACGAAAATTTCCCGGAATGCATAATATACCTTTTGATTTTTTAAAAATTATACCGCTGAAATGTTGTTGGTAACTTAATAAGACCCTATGATCAAATCAGATAAAATTTTGTAGAGACTGAGTGCTAAAAAACAAATATTCAGAGAGTATAGAATAAATTCCGGGAAGAATTCGTCCCGTCGTTCCCGCTTTACAATTAGTGTAACTATTCAGAGGCCCAAGCTAATGTCGAGTAAAAAAATAAGGCCAATTTTGGAATATGATTTCAGCATATCTCGCGAAGTATACGGAATTTCGGAAAGAACTTTTGTAGTAACGTAGATTGTTTATATGTGAATAGTTGTGAATAGAAAGTAGAGTTCTAGATCATTTGATTTAAAAGTATTTTATTGGCGAATGTGGGTACCCTATGAAAGGAGTTCCATACCTTTATTTTTTTTTTAACACCTTAATTTTTTTAAAGCGATCTAAGGGCTTGTGGGGCAAATACAATAAGATCAGTTTTATCCTCGTTTAAGGTAGAGACGGATAGCAATCACGTGATAGATAGAATCCGCATATTAGCACGTGCTGTTTTTCCGGATTCCGCAACGCCGCCAAATAATAATCTTCATTTACACATTATTGTCTATGCTACAAGATGGCCGACGAAGCAGTCGAGAAAATTTCCTCGTTTAAAAGACAAAGTTTCTATACATATTTAATCTTGACAGTCCTCGAAATTGAAGCACCTTAATAAGAATCGAAATGAAAATGAGACTGAAACCGACCATGAACATAATTTTGGTGAAACTACTCCTTGTCGACTGCAGCACCACGTGGGTGCCGTTATCTGTGTCTGATGTGGTTTTTGAACATAGACATTAACTGATTAAAGGCCATGACCCTGCAGATGTTAATTGGTATGATGGAAGAAGTAAAAAATTTGCAGAACAAATGTTTTGTTTGCAGTGTCCGTTTAGATACATCAGGTGAATATTACGACTATGGTGCATGTTTGTTTAACAGTTTAACGTACAGGTCTGGTACAATCACTAAATTTAGCTACGTAGCTTGAATAACTTACATAGGTTTATTTACCTAACTAAAGTAGTTTTATTTAGCTACAAAGTCCAACTTATTTCATGACCAGACTCTTACTTCTTGAATGAAATAACAAGACCAGATATTTCTGGTGAACATGATAAAGGCCGGATTGGTAATTATTTAGCACAATGTGAAGTAATCATACTTTTCTGTGCCTAAACGCACACCAGGTTGTGTATAGTTACTCAAACAACAGAAATACATATTTTGCTTAAAGCGTTAAAACGCAGAAATGTGTAAACTTTCTCTGCTTTGGATCGCTTTTTAAATATTAATCCCTTGTATAAGTAATAGTGGACATTTACTTGCAATTCTAGATCGTTTGTCTTTTTGAAATAAAAAGCAAATTTGTAAAAAGTTGCATTGAAATAGCTAAATAAAGCTACCCAAAGTAGCTAAACAAAGTTACAGTAGCCGTCTGTAGGTAATTCTATCTATGCAGATAAATGTACTGATTGTACTTGACCTGTTTAATACTTAACTTTGTATATTATTTAAGTACATGTATTTTACATGTTAACTTACGAACCATATACATAGATGATAAATTACAGTTTAAATGGTGCTGTATTCAAAAGATTTTTACATAAATGTAAGTTTATGTAATAATTATGCACATGTAATAAATTATGTATGTATTTGTTGTATGCTCAAAAGGGCCCTGATTATAAACAGATATCATAAATACTAAAAGAAATATTAAATACTACAGGTGAAGCAAAATATGGACTAGGCTAAGGCAGTGTATTCAGGTGTTTTATATTATTATAAATTTATTAAATTTCAAATTTTTAGTCCTTATATTCTTAAGTTACACACCATAATGTACAAACTATTGTATACATGTAGAAGCATTTTCTCAAGTCAATAATTTTTCAAAGTTCATATATACATATTTCAGGAAAATTCAAGACAGATCTGCTACAGTAACTGTACATAAAGTAGCATACATGTATGACAGGAAAGGAGGAAAATGTATGGCTGGACCGAGATTCTAATCTGGGACCCCTGCATCACTAGTCAGGTGCTCTATTGACTTAAATACATGTACCAGTAAATGGTTGTGTATAGACATACAAAAAAAAAACATTATAAATTGAATTGAAAACTGAATACATGTAACCAAAAATTAGAAAATGTAAAGATGTCTTCTAACTTGAATGAGATTGTTTCAACTATAACACCAAAGAATTGGTATGATAATCTGAAGAAGTCAGTATTGTTAAAAAACTTATGAGAAATGGTTTTTTAACAATACATACATGTACATACTGACTTCTTCACATTATCATACCTAAATTTACAAATTAAATCAGAATTGTTAATAAATTCTACAATATCTTTTAAATAGATCAAGCTATCTACTTTAATTTTTATTGTCTTTTCTTCATGTTACAGATCTTATGGACATACATGATCCTTGGCTATATAATCAAGTGTCATATGCAGTGTTACAAAAGAATATTGGAATTATGTCAATAAGGTAATTAGGACAAGACTGGATTAAAAACCAAGGAATAAAAATGATGTAAAAAATGTATTTTAATTCCGTATATAATAGTTACTGTGTACATAAATTTGCGTATTTAAAATTTAGCGCAATTACTGGGTGTGGAATTTTTGGCAAAATCATGAATTCGAGCTATACATGTCCCTGTTGTATATTGTATTTATAAATGATTTCTTAGCAGTATTCTTGAATTAGCGCATCGTTGTCTGCGCCAAAGCTGCTAAAATATGAATCCCGCTTTTTTAAGTACACATACAGCATGTTGCCAGTTGCTGTATGTATTGTTTTACATTGAAGATGTTTCATTGACAGGTACATGTAGTGTTTTTTCCACAAAAACTTTATCCTTTGGCCTTAACTCTTAAACAATTATTACTGGGTCTTTGTATTTCACATGTTTATTTCTTTTTTAAATCCCATGATCTTGGCCTTAGAGTCTGACCTACATTGAGAAACTAGAATATTTAATCTTTATCTATATATACCAATTTTTTTTTAATTTAGACACTTCATTAATCCAAACAATTTCCATTGGAGCAAAAGTGTCCGGATTAATGAGGCCGACTATATATGCATTTGATTAAAAGATCCATGACAATTTGATGAATACATATATATATAAAATGTATTGCTACAGTATAATCTGACAGAAATGTTTTATATTCATAATATAGACATAGTCATACCATGTTTGCAGTGTAAGAAAGGAGTAATACATGTATTTTAGTTCTTTAAATATTAAAATAATTTGTTCATTTCAGAAAAAGAACTACCAGAAGGATACAGTAAAGAGAAACAGACATATCCCACCCATTAGATATGTGCTTCAAAATCTGAATATACAGAATGAATTCTGCTCATTGCAGCTCCTTCTGAAAAGAACACCTTTGTTGTATTGACATAGAATCAACAGAATTGTCCGATTCCTTGAACATGACACAACTGGATCCATATGATGGCAATTAAAGATTCATACATGTGTACATAAATGATTGATCTTCGTCAGCCGATAAGCCAAAAAACTACAGCTAGCAAAATAATAAGTTTATCTCACTTTTCCAAATGAATCTTAACGGTAATACATGTACATGTAGCATCAACATTCATCAAGCATTGTTATATTTCTTAGATTTTCTTAAATCAAACCATCCTTTTCTTGTTGTAGGTCATAATGTTGTATCAAATGACATTCCAATTTTCTTGAAATTACTTGAGGAGTTTGGACTTCAAGAAAAACTTACATATTATTGAATGTATTCACTTTATTTTGTTGAATTACATCCTGAGTTTAAAAGTTGTACACCGGCCATCATATACAGTTTATGGTGGGATTCCTCTGCCTTTTATGAATCTGTGTGTAAAATCTATACTTTAAAGTTACAAATTATTACCTTTAATAGATTATATGTTCTTATGTAAATTATTACATTATTTTTGTATGTATGTAATGATAACCGAATCACTCTCTATTTCCCCGCACTTTTTACCATGTGATGCTTTAGTGTATTAATATCTGACTACTGATGACCAGGCAGTCTTCATTAAACAGTGAAACACATAACCCATGCTTTTATTTGAATATCTTTAAAACAAGGATAACATATTGTGGACCGATTCTGTTTACAAAACTTCATAATCACTGGGTATTCTTATACATGTATTTGGAATGAAAAAGGAATTGTTAAAGGAAAGTGAAATTAATACTAATGTTGTCAAAGGAAGATTAAAAGAACAGTTTATTTATGCACAGAATTGGTCAAAAGATATTGTCGTTGATAATTCATCCAAGAATCATATGTATAATAAATCTATCAAAGTCAATTTTAACGATATAAAGGAAAGTTTATATCCGTTTAAATGTAAGTGCAAAAAGGTCAACCAGGGCAACATGTGTCTAGGATGTATAAGTATTTGCTTTTGTGATATAAAATGTAATTTAGAAGAATATTACAAAGAATTTACTCATTTTCTGTGAAATATTTTGATGAATTCTTTGATAATCTCTCTTAGTCACCATATTCTTCAAAAGTGCATCCTTTGTAAAGGAAGGGGGTAGGGTAGGGTGTAAGATAATAAACTTGCGCCAGGTTGAAACTAAACCCCATTAAGTAGTATAATTTTTTTCTGAAATTTAAGATACTTATTGACTAACTATAATATGCAATAAAAAAAGAAATTTGATGGGTAATTTTTTCACAGTGGAAGCAGAAGTATGAGTCTTTGAGTAATGAATAGGCAATATTTTAACGTAATTTGACCATGCATCTTCGTGAATGTTATTCTGTTTTTCGCTTACAATGCTTGATAATTTTAAGATCGATGTCAAATATTAATTCATATAGACAGATGTTTGAATTCATATAAGACAAATGATAATTAATATATCAATAAAAATTTTATAGCCCTTTTCATTTCTTCTTCTTATATTATTTTACCCTGCTTTTTTAGCTCTTCGGTGGGTGATGAAGGCTATATTAAAATTATCAAATTTCTCTTAAACTAGCCCGATGACCTACCTTGAATTTTTAATATGATTTAGAACAAAGACTCAACACAAACATATATAAAATTCAGAAAATTTCAATGGTTAGTTTTTTTGTTGACAACCTATCAATCTCTACCATAATTTCAGCATGTTACTAGACATCCAAGACTTGATTTCATTGAGACAGCATGCTAACCGAGAAGACACATTCAGCCAGGTCTCAGTTGGTTCTACTACTAGATAAACTTGCGTATCATCGGCGTATACGTGGTACCTCATACCATGACGCAAGCAAATCTCGGTAAGCGGACGGGAAAAAATACAGTATATTTTAGGCCCCAACACTGAGCCTTGAGGTACACCGATACATGCCAAGAAATCCCGTCCATTTTTCCACAGCGATGGAGTCAATAAAAGTGTAATTGATGCAAATCACCCATATTCCCCTAACGCTGGCGAGACAATTAACGGCAGCAGATTTGAGGGGGTGGATCCTAAGTTTTCCGTTTTCTTAGTCAAAGAAAAATAAACTTCTACCCCAGGAAGTAGCCTCCTATGCCCTGAAAAAAATAGTTCCTGTCAAAAACCTTTATTTATTTACAAAATATGTAAAATGCACTAGACACAGGTACCAAAATTGTAAAAATAGACTGGAAGGAAATTAAAAAAAAATTCAAAAGGAAAAAATAATAATTTTATATGTATGGAACTACAATTGAATAAGTTCATTTTCATTGGTCAATTACCGGTATGATACCTTAATAAGGCGCGAGACTTCCACAACAACCAAGTTCGTCGTGCCCGATGTTAATTTATACTAGGAAAAAAATATTTTCATATATAAACACTGAAAAATTTGAAAGGCGTCTAATTTTTACTGAACAATTAATTAGTTCACTACAATTTATATCACTTTCTTTTTCTTCTTTTTTTACCGCATATGATTTGCATGGAAAATCCCCCCCCCCCTTTAAAAAAAACAACAGGAAAAAAGGTGCAAAGGCTTCTAAATAATAAGTATTCTAGCTTTAATTTCAAACCAGTAAAACTTAAGATCCTTCCCTCAAAACTGCTGACATTAATTGCCTCGCACACATCTCCCTAGGGAAAAATCGCAGATTAACGTTAATTCCGCTTTTATTGAGTTCGCTCTAAAACTAGAATGCGTACCTTTTCTTGGCATGTTTAATGGTAATGGATCGGAAATTTCGGAACCAACTGATATGCGTTGCGTTCTTTGACTCATGTATGACTTGATCCACAAAAGAGCGTTCTCTGTTATACCAAAAGTGTGTGCAAGCCGTTTATACAAGATGCCATGGACAATGACGTCGAAGGCTGCCGAAAGATCCAACATAACTAGAACTGCACAACTGTTGTTGTCCAGCGCAGCAGCAATGTCGTGATGAACACGAAGTAGGTCTCAGTGGAATGGTATTTCCTGTAAGCGGACTGAAGGTCATCGTTAAGACGGTTTTGTTCTAGATGACGATCAATTCGAAAGGCGACGACCTTTTCCAAAACTTTTGATATGAAAGGCAAGTTCGAGACAGGTCGATAATTTTTGAAACATTCTTTATCCAAACCTTGTTTTTTATGCAATGGTTTCACAACTGCCTCCTTGAAACTCGATGGAACAGAACACTCAGATATCGATTTGTTGATGATATCTGTGATATGAGGCACTAATACTGAACTTTCACATTCTTTGAGTAAATTGGTTGGTAACGGGTCTAAACAGCACGTTTTTGGTGCAGAGTTTGACAAAATTTTCAAAACTTCCTCACAAGTTGTAGGATCAAAATTGACCAACGCTTCGCCCTGAAAGGGTTTATCAAAAGCCATGGAATTAGTGTCGCCTCTGCTTTCACTGACCAACTCATCTCGAATGTTGTTTATCTTGTTACTGAAAAATGATCCAAACTTGTTCGCTAATTCCAAATCAGATGTACAGTCGGGAAGAATAGGAGCATTTGATTCTCCAAGTAATGAATTCGTAATTTTGAAAATTGTTCCTTGATCATCACCGCAAGAATTAATTTTGGACAGATAGTAGTCTCGCTTGCTTTCAACGAGTAGCTTCGTGCTCGATGAACACTTTTCATTGTAAATCAAATGATGCACAGTCAGTTTAGTGCGCCTCCAAACCCTTTCAGCTTTTCTTTTCTCACGTTTTGCTTCGCGCAGTTCAGATGAGTACCACTTTGTGTTCGGTCTTAACGTAATTTCTTTACTTAAGAGAGGTGCGTGTTTGTCGACAACATCGCGCACAATGGAATCGTACTTCGTGACATGGTCGTCAAGCGAAATGTCATCTGATTTCAGAAAACTAAGGGTGTCATCGAGGTCGGAACTCAGGTCCTTTATATTAACTTCACGAAATTGCCTAAAACTCACTAATTTCTTTGGTTTTTCCGGTTTCGAAACATTCAAAACAGTACATATATCCTTGTGATCACCGGACACATTCCCTCTCAGATCACATAATAAGGGATCTTTTTCCTCCGGTTCACATGTGAAGTATGAAAGCCCTAGCACCATTTGTTCAAAAGTTACGACCAAGGTTAAAGTTTTTTCCAAAGTAGGTCAAACCCCAAGGTCTAGGTTAAACTGTCAAAGTTGTTGGTATCCGAAGGAAGGTCTTGTTACAAAAAATGCAAATGTGAAGTTTGAAAGCCCTGGCACTAACTGTACAAAAGTTATGGCCAAAGTAAAAGTCTGATAAAATTTAGCAAACATGTTTATTGAAAGGTTGGTTGCCCCCCTCCCCTCCCCCCCACACACTTTTTGTTGTAGCAGAGTTAAATCATGGTGATTTGGTAAATGTATTAATAAAATTTTGATTTGTGAAAGTTGGAACATAACCCACCCACCCTCCGACCCCTGTCGTTCTCTGCGTACACTTCACTTCCATGCTGGCTATTAGCGCCTGGAATTCCAGGATGTCCTCTTGATATTACGAGAGGTTTCACAGACCAACATGAACATGTACAGTACAAGTTCGAATTGCAAGTATGCATTTACATCAGTTTTCTTGTTTAGTAATTATAACTTCTATGCGGGATTGGACACAGATTTGGAACTAACAATTTCTAAAAATTTCAGTATAATATCATGACTATACATTGCTAGAGCATTTCACACCAAAATATTATAAAAGCGTGTTGGGAAACTTCTTCTATCTGGAAATTATTACTACGAATTTTAGGACGTGTTTGATTTTCACATGCTTGCTCTGGAAGTTAACTTTACCCTTAATGTTTAAGAAAAGTGGAAAATTTGTTGCATAATAATGAAAAATATTAAAAATGTAATCCAGAAAATTCACAGTAGAAATATGATAAAGCAAAACCAACTCACCGGTATTGTCAGTTCATTCTTAGTGATGTGTGCGAGTAAACAAATTGAATACACCTGGTAAAACGTACACACTAACAATAATAGAGCTCATGCCCATGTTTACAAACACAGATGTTAGACATGATGTTATGAAGAATGTCAATGTCATTCAATTTTAAGAATTTTCATTTAACTGCAAATTC